CCTCAACTCTACAAATACACCGTTAGTTGTAGTTCAGGGCTCACAATGAATCGCACTTCCTGTTTGACCTAAAGTAAAAGCTGTCCCATCTCATCTCTTTCTAATCGACTTCACCTCATCTCATGTCTCGCCTCTCACCTCTAGCAATTACAGTATGGAAGGCGTTTTCTTCGTGGAGTACATGAGGAATTGAGACGTCTGCTCTGCAGATGCGTCCTTGGACCATGAAACAAGGATTGAGAGGTTAGCAGTGAGGGGGTAACAGAGGAGAGTGATAAACAAGGAGTGAATTAGGGTAGTTACTGTACATTCCAATGTTTGAGATACATGGGACACGTTTAACGCAAAGAAAAAGTAATGTTCCTTTGAGCAAAATAATAGTTTATACATATGTGCAGAGTAGGTAGATAGGTAGAATGATGAGTTGATGACGAGAAGTTACATCGAGAATGGATAGAAGCAGGGTTAGGTAAAGAGAGCAAAGAAGATGGAGAGAGGAAAAGTGAGGATATGATCGTTTGGAAAGGCAAAGCGCGCATGAGGAATGAATGCTCCTATCTAATCAGGTGGAAGAGGTGAGTACCGAAACTCTTGCTAAATTAGCCGAATCACCAAACATAGTGAAAAGTTCTATTACGTACTCATCACTCCGTTATTGTTTTAAACAGGTTTAAGTGTTGCATTTATTGACTCCTTATGCTTGAATGTCCTTAAAAGAATGAAAAGAGTATACATATGAAAAAAAAGTATGTTCACTGGAAATATCTGGGTTCTCCATCAAACTCTTTTGTATCAATTTTCAATTCCCATAATTTCTGGATTCTTAGCTTTCTAGTATCAAATCCTGCAATTTCCTAGAAGTCTTAATTTAAATGAATACATTTGAGAGTTGTAGGGAGTGGGACTTTTGTTCAGTTTCTTTTCCTTGGCCAACGTGAAGCTGCGATATGCTAAAATTGAACAGATAACCTCTCGTAGGCCAAGGTTACTCAGCACTATAGATAAACAAAATGCAATAGCCTTTACCATTTGGTGATTCAGCCAGCAGTCAGTCAGTCACTCGGCCCCTGGCTACTGGTACTGTCCACGTGCGCCGTATCCAGACTTGCTCATTCGTACACGTCGGCAATGTGGTCGCCTTCATTCACAAACCGACGCAGAGCTGGGAGCAGACCATAGACAACGAGATGTGCATTTTGAGTAGTGTTACATGCATGGTGGGATTAGCAGAGAAGACAAGTGCGGATGTATGAAGACGTGTCAAGTTAAAAGGGGGAAAT